ACCAGTTATTCTGTCATGGCCAGAAAAGTGAATTTGATCTTTATATTGTCAAAGTAATTCTTTTTATAGTTTATAAACTTTCTATAATGAACATGAATTACTTAGAAAATATACACACCGTTATTGTGCAGGTTTTGTGTTGCCTCTGTAACAAGTTACCACTAACTTAGTGGCTTTAAAAACACAAGTTTATTACCATACAATTCTGTAGGTCAGCAGTCCAGCAAGGTCCTCACTGAGATAATATCAAGGTGTTGGCAGGACTGCATATCTTTTAGAGGCTCTCAGGGAGAATCTGTTCCTTTGCCTTTTCTAGCTGTTAGAGGTTGCCTACATTCCTTGGTTCAGGGTCATTTTTTCCATAATTGTCAAATTCAGAAACACAGCATCTTTAATTCTTTCTGACTCTGGCTCTTTTTCCTCCCTCTTCCACTTAAAAGAACCCTGTGATTACAGTGAGCCAAACTGGATAACCTCCATACCTTAGGATTCTTGACTTTATCACCTCTGCAAAAACTCTTTTGCAATGTAAGCTATCATTTTCACAGATTTCAGGAATTAGAAAATGAGTATCTTCAGGGTACCATTATTCTTCCTACTGTGTTTACTAGATTGTTAGATAATCAATGATCATTCTTAGAGTATACTCTAACCAAAGACAATCTAATGATTTATTCTGTATGTACTCTGGAAGACATTGGGGTACAGGAGCTTTGAGAAGTTCTGAATAAATTTAACTGTCCATTTCCTAAAGCCATATAAAGTTCATAGGTCTGCTTATATCACAGTGAGTATTGCCTCATCTATAAAGTAAATGGCATATTTACAGACAACTGAGATTTGCTTCATATAGCCCTAATTATTTTTTGGTTCCTACTCTCTGATTTTCTCTAACCAATCTTTGATTCCTTGTGAACAGTTATCTGCCATTCCCAAAGCACTATGTTGGAATATTTTTTCTCAAGTTACCAAAGCATTCCCTTTGCATCATTCTATAATGATGTACTGTAAGTGGTACATTATGCTGACTTTTACTTTTTTCCATTCAATTATCATATTTTGTAGATATTTTTTCCCAAGAAGTCTCTAAAACATCTCTCATGTTTTGTTTCATTTTAATTCCTGTAACCTCCGATGTATTTTAGGCCTTTGTTCCTATATGTGAACTTTCACAGATATCTCCTAGTGAATCGCTTTGCTTTTATTCTCTTTCAAAACACCTGTGCTAGATGAATCTTCTAAAGACTCATTCTTACTGAAAATTTTCTCTATTCTCCCATGTCTATAGGATCAAATTGTAACTCTTCAATATTATATAAAAACCTAACATTTCCAGTTTAATAATTTAAATCCTTCATGGCTGATCTCAAATCCAATTTCCTTTTATTTTTCTTCCCTTGACTCCAGCTTTCATCTAAATGAATGAATTTCTGCCGCACTCTTTGTAGAAATCTTTTATTAATTTGTCAAACTATGTTTTTATTTATCTTTCTATAACCACGTGCCATTTATGCTGTATCATTCAACTAAATTTTCCAATGATAAAATTCATGTTTTGTACGTCTTTTAATACTTTACAATATTGAGAACCTGATAGTTAATAAACATTAACCATTTATGGGTAAAGGAAAATAGGATTTAAGGCTACATTTTGGGGGCCAGAATTTGAGGTGGTGGTGGTAGTAGTTGGTATAAAATAACTGATGCTTTCTAATAAGTTTTGTGGGTCCCTAGTTTATGTATATTGTTTTTACTTTTAAAAACACTAGTATTGTATATTCATAATCATTCTTTACAGTTACTTAGATATTCTTATTTGAGTAACTATACGATTTCTATAAAGCAGTTCAATTAACAATCAGGTCTTCTTCTTCCCCTCCCCCACTGCTGTGTGTGTGCATGTGTGTGTGTGTGTGTGTGTGTGTGTGTGTTTGAGACAGGGTCTCACTATGTAGCCAAGGCTGGTCTTGAACTCATAATCCTCTTGCCTCAGTTTCTTGAGTACTGGGATTACAAGTGTATACCACCATGCCTGGGTTCCTTACTTCTATATTCTTTCTATTCTACTCTCTGGATTCTCAGAATTTCTCATTTTATTTGAAGGTTTTTAAGTCTCCATGAAAATACTTTAGTAACACACAGAGTATGTAAATTATTTTCTCTAAAACTGACCTCACTCTTTTTGTTGGCAGAATAATCTCATAGCCCGAGAATCAAATTACTTTGTTTTGAAGGTAGAACTTCGTACTTCCTTTAATTCATTGCCTTGTATTCTCCAATCCCTTGTTTCAGTTCATCCTTTTTTACAAAATAAGAAATGTAATGTGTACTTCCTTTGTTTTAAAATCATTCCAAATCTCTCTCTAGGGTTGATTCATTGTTAAACCCCATGGTAACTCTAGTTTGTTTGGCTAAACTCGGGACTAGGCTTTGGGGAATTGTGATAATTATGGCTTATCTTATGATCATTTGCTTTACTTGCTCCATCAGCAAAAGGTAAAAATGTATTATAAGTAATCATAAGGTTCACTGCAAAGGATAGAAAAAGTTGCATGCAGTTTGTGAGCATGAGGGTAGATACAAGTATAACCATCCCAACTGCCACAGGGGAGTAGAGCTTTTACATATATCTCCCAGGGGCAAAAAATGAATATATTTCCCAGCTTGATTTTTCTATACCAATCATATGACACATTTAAGTGATTAAAAACTGAGCTATTTAATACCTCAATAATATTAATGATAATGCTGATGACAATGGTCGTTACCCTATGTTGAGACTTTAGAGTTCTGTTCTGGCTTTGATCAAATTTGAACTTTCAAAGATCCTGTGCAGTATATATTCTTATATTTTTATGTCTCTTATGCAGAAAAACAAAAACTGAGGTCCAGTCTGTATAAGTGATTTGTTTGAAGTCACAGAACTGGTAAAGGGTAGAACCAAATCTCATCTTTCTGCCCCCAAATTTGAGCTTATAATCAGCACACTACACTACTTGCATTGGCCAAAGCACTAACCACATAGCAGTGAGGGTCAATGTGGGAACCACTCTTGATCTTTGTGACAAACTGATTCATTTGGATTCATTTTATGGTGACCAATTTGAACATGCCAAGCTAATGATATCTAAAGAGAAAATAAGTTAGAAAATAACTGCAGGTTTTAGCTTACATTTTGATTTAAGTGTGTATGATCCTGTGCTTTTTTTCCTTCCTTCCTTCCTTCCTTCCTGTTACTGATATCAGAACTCTCTAGCCAATTGTTTCCAGGCTCATTGGTATCAATTTTGAGTTTAACAAATCTCAGCAACATAACAGGGCATCTACTTAGTTTTTATAGATGAACCTAACCTTCATCCTTAGCTGCCATGACCAAACAAATTGGTATAGCTGCATACGGGATAAATATCACCTAGAAGGCACAGAGGTATTATGTGCTCATTGTATATTCATCTGCCTCCTCCCTTGTTGAAATATTGGATTTTGATCCTTATGTGATCCCTCCAACCATGTCATTCATTCCACAACTGAACACTGGGGCACAAGATTAAGAAAAATATAAAATTTCCTATTTTCATGGGGGCATATCAAATGCATATTTCTAAGCATGTTCAACAGTCTTTCTATGAATATAGGGTTCAATATGGATTTTGTTTGTAGGCACAAGACTCTGGGGATTTGGTAATAAAATTCAGATTGAGATTTAGGTCAATTATACATTTTTAGTTTGTTAAACTTTTGTTTCTATAGTGTACTTGTATTTTTCCTTGGATAACCTTGGTTCACATGGATTTTACCCATTGCCTTTTGGTTTTTTTAATAACCCCAGCACCTTCTCATTTCTTCCTCCTCCCTTCTGTGCTTTAATATTCTTAAGAGCCCTGCAAGCTTTCGTTTTATAGGTGAGGAAATTAAGAGTCAAAAAAGTTGAATAATTTCCTCAGGGCCACACAGCTAGTAAGTAGAAGATCTGGGATTTTAATTTTGATATATCTGATGCCAGAAGATGGATTGCCAACCACAATTTTATTCTTGAACTCTTTTAAAAGTTTATCCTATTCATATGCCAGTGACTCCTTAATGACATGGTATTATGACTACTTAGCTAGTGAGCAATTCCTGGCACAGTGCAAACTCTTACCTATGAACATGAAAATGATGAAGCATGTAACATTGTTGGTGCTAATTTCAGCTTACAATGGTTTTGATTCATTGTAAAATTTAGTATTTCTCATTTTCCAGATTAAAATCAGCCCATTTTCATTGGGGAAATCTTTTAGTTGTTTGCTCAACCCCTCCTACTTTTTACCACTCTCTAAGTCACTCTGCAGAAACTTTGTTCTATAGATAGTACTGAAAAATTTAAATGTCTCCATAAAATTATTACTCATTAAGTGCCTAAAGAACCTTTTTGTGTTTGTGAGCTATCAAAACTGCCGGTATCTCTAGTCACATTATATAAAACCTTTTCACCAAGAACAAGAATATTTCCTTTTATGATAGCTGCTCTGAACTGACACATTTTTCTAATACTTCCTAAGTTGATGGTAGTCAGGTTTGAAAGTGATAATATGTAAGCACAGTGGGTCCTTTTCAGAGAAATCATTGAAATTAAAGCACATAGGAAAACTGAACGTTTATGAAGTGCAATACCCAAACCCAATTACACAATCACACAGAAAAGAGAGTATAGAGCAATGTGATGCAATGGAAAGAGTGCTAGGTGAGATTTGGGGCACCCGATTTACCTTGACAAAGTTAGTTTTTCTGGGCCTGAGTTCCCTAATTTATGAAATTTGGTATATTATATTAGACAGTGATTCTTCATCAGAATTGCCTTGAATATTCTTAAACATACACATTCTCAGTCCCCAAAGACACTGGTTTAGAAACTCTGATGAGACTAGGATTCTCAATATTTTTACCAGTTTCCAGGCAATTCTATTGCAGACTGTATTGAAGAAGAGTTTGGACTTCTTAAAACTATTCTCCCCACTTAGGATTGCCATCATAAGGTAGGGAGGGGCTAGCATCCCAGCTGCAAGCCCTCTCATTCAAAGTTCATGCTCAGCCAGCAGTGTCCTTGGAATCTAGTTCAAAACTGAAAGAGAATGAACTGTGGAGCTGAGAACCATCAGTGGAGAGGCTGGCCTAAAGGAAGTGAAGTGTTTCAGCCAGAATGTACTGACACATGGCCAGGAAACCACAAGTCTGGTGAGAACCTTTCCAAGCCTGAGCCCTGTGATCAAAAGAGGTACAGGAAATGGCTCTGCCACGAGTCCTTCTGCTGCTGGTTTAAATCCTGAGTTTCTGAGGTTGTCTGAGTCAATTCCCTGAGCAGAAGCTGTCACCTAAGGATCCAACACAAAAGTATTATTTTTTTCTTGTTCTCTGGTGGTCCCACTGGTGAATGGGAGTGAGTTGGTATTTCCTTTCTTCTTTCGTTTGGCAGAGATTGCCAACCTGACTTTTCAAAAGCCATAGATTACTGGATTCTTACTCTTTGTAACTGGCTATTATTATTTGGTGCTTAGAGTTTATATATAAACCCCCAAATCCCCAAACTCTTGCCAATGCCTAGATTACCTGACTGGCACCATTGTAAATAGCCTGAACTTCAGCATTAAAGACTTCCTTTATTTCTTGCATCCTAACTATTAACCCTTCTTCCAGGCTAGTCTTCGTTTTGTTACACCTAATAATGGACACAACCAGAAAATTACATTCTGATCTCTATCACAGGTAGAGATCATGTCTGGACACAAGGTCAAAATAATTTTTTCTTGTGAATTCTATTTCCTTAGCTAGAGTAACTGCCAGTTGCCATGCAATAAATCACATCATCATATGACTGATCCAGTTAGTAGCTGAGACTTGCAGGATAATTGAACCATGTCCTGAGAGCTAAATGAAGGAGAAATTGGACTGACCATGGAGCACTTCAAATTGATTGTTTAGTAATGAAATATTTTTCCTGGAAAGACAACAGAATAAATCTGAACTGTTGATTCTGTCATAGGTATAGGTCTCCTATGTACAGAAAAATAAAGCAAACATAATGAGTTTTTCATTTGGATTTCTGCATTGCATTTCATGTCTATTTTTATTCTGTGAACCTTGACTAGACAATTCATCAATATTGCCCGTGTGTGATAAAATCCATAATCTTAACCTACTTCTTACCAAAATCTCAGTGAATGTAGCTGTTATGGTTTAGATCTAAAATGTCCCTTAAAGGCTATGTGCTAAAGGCTTGTTTGCCTGCTGAGGTGCTTTAAGGAAGTGATTGGATCATGAAGGCTTTGATGTCATCAGTGGATTAATTCATCAAAGGATTCAAAATGTTAAGTTATTGGGAGGCAGTAGATAATTTAGGAGGTGGAACCTAATTGAGTAGGTCATTGGAGATGGACTCTTGGGGATTATATCTTATCCTCAGCCCTTTATTCTCTTTCTCTCTCTCTGCTTCCCATGAGGTGAGCATCTTTTGGGCACCACATGTTCCCTGCCACGATGTTCTGCCTCACTGGGGCCCAGAAATGGAGCCAAGTGACCGTGGACTAAAAACCTCTGCAACTGGAAGCCAAAATAAATCTGTCCTCTTTTAAGCTGATTTTCTCGAGTGTTTTGTCATAGTGGTGGAAAGCTAACACCATGAGGTAACAACAACTTTTATGAGACAATTCCTGAACCTTGGCTTGGGTTTCAGTCACTTTAGGAAATGTGAAATTCAATGGTGAGAGGCAAAGATATCAGAGGTTAAAATATGGGAGACTCTGTGCACAAACTGAGTAGCAACAATCAAGTATATTTTGAATTTTTTTTTTCTCCCCTGGGACTTTTAGGTGAAGTAGAGAATTTACAAACACATTGTGCTGCAATGCATTTTGTGATATGCCTTTTTTAGGAAGTGCTATCTTTATACTGTGCTGACACTAACGTTTGAACTAAAACATTTTTTTTCTCTCTCTCCTCCACTTTTGGCTTAGTTTATCCTACCAAAACATACTTCAAAAGACCTCATAGAAAGAATGTTTCAAAAATATAATATTTCCATCTGTTGTTTTAATAATACATGCTTTGGGACTCTCTTTATGAACCATTTTCCTTTCTTAGCTTCCATTTAGATGTAAAAATATTTGATTCTAAAGCCCTGAAGGATAGTCAGCCAATCAGGTCACTGGACTGTGAACATTCCTGACCTAATAATTTTGTCTGTAGCAGTCACCTCCTGCTGTGGAACTAACTGCTAAGGGATTATAGCAATGTAATCCTCAGACTGTTCCATCTCAAGGTTACTCTGAAGTGGAGGGAAGGAAGCAGTTTTAATTTTGATAAAATAAACTTTATTTTATAGCTTTATTATTTGTTTTTCTTTCTCCTTTCAACACTTCATAATAGACACGTGGTGATTTGAAGTTGGCCTCCCTGGTTTAGGTGCCCCTCGGCCACCCCAAGAATATGTTATTCTAGCTTTTTTAAAGAGATATAGCCACACAGAATTTAGCCCTGTCATTCCAAAATACAAAAGCTGAGTTTTTCTACCTGTGATGAGCTGAACCAAGCCAGGTTCTAATCCTCATGAAAAAAACTCAAATAGTGCATTTCTAGTGGGTGGCAACAGAAGATGCATGGACGCTGTCATGCCACCTACATCCATAGGAAATGTTAAATCGTGCACATTTTTAAAGTTACTTTTCTATTTTCTAGGGTTTTTCCTCACCAGACCTCTATTTCAGCTATTTAAAAAATTTTTTATTAGGATATATTACTTGTATAGGGGTGATTTATTGTGACAATTCCAATAGGAATTCACCCCCTTCTATAGAGTAGTTCTACTATTAAAAACATGTTTACCTATCAGTTTGTATATGATCATGTTTGTTTTTGTGTGTATGTTTATCTTTTGGATCTATCCTCCACATATGAGAGAAAACATGTCACCTTTGTTTTTCTGAACATGGCTTACTTCACGTAACATGAAATCCTCTAAATGTATCTATTTACCTTCAAACCACATAGCGTCATTCTTCCTTATGGCTGAGTTAAACTCCATTGTGTATATATATATTACATTTTCTTGATTCATTCCTCAGTGTAGGGCATCTGGGTTGTTCCCATAGTTTGGCTGTTGTGAACAAAGCTGTGATAGACATCAGTGTGCAAATGTCTCTCTTGTATCCTGACTCACATTCCTTTGGATGTATGCCCAGGAGCAGTATCACTGGATCAAATGGCAGTTCTATCTTTATATTTCAGCAATTATTAAAGCAATTGCATTCAAGGTTACAACCTGAATTTCATGAAAACTCCTTTTTTTGATATAAACTGAATATGATCCTAGGAATGAAAGATTTTTATGTATGAAATTTAATATATTTTGAATCAAGCCCAAAGAGATTTTTTGCTGTGTGTGGAGGATAAAATGAAAATTCCATTAATAAAATTTTATGCCTGGATGGATGAGGAAATCTTTTCCAAGATAAAAATATTTTCCTGTATTTTTCTTACATTAAACATCTATAAGGTTATGTTCACTTAAACATAAGCCTAGTTGTTAGATTATAAATAGTTGCATCTTTCTGGAGACATTATGGCAAAGAGTTTGCAGAACTTTAAAATGTATACAATGTTGTCCAAGAAACAATGCTTTTAGAAGTCTATTCAGTAAATGCAACTTGAAAAACTGGATACATTTTAAAAAATCATTTTGATTGCATTTGAGCAAGAAATTGAGAGTTCAAGGCCCTTGAAAAGATGAGCCTGACATTTGGTGATGTTTTCCCATGAAGATATGTTGAGTAAAAACCACATTAATATTCTACCTCATGCCTGTTAGAATGGCTACCACCAAGAACACAAACAACAACAAATGTTGGCATGAATGGTGGGAAAAAGAACCCTCATACACTGAGAGTGGGAATGTAAATTAGTTTAACCACTGTGAAAGAAAGAATGGAGGTTCCTCAATAAACTAAAAATAGAACTGCCATATGATCCAGCAATCTCACTCCTAATGATACACCCAAAGGCACCTTATAGGAAAGGCATCTGCACACCCATGTTTACTGCAGCATTATTCACAATAGCTAAGCTATGGAAATAGGGTGCCCCACTATTGATGAATGGATTAAGAAAATGTGGTATTTATATACAGTGGAATTTTATTCAGCCACAAAGAGGAATGAAATTTTGTCATTTGCAGATAAATGGATAGAACTGAAGAACATCATCTTAAGTAAAGTTAGCCAGGTTTAGAAGGCCAAGAGTCGCATGTTTTCTCTCATATATGGAATACATAACTAATACAAATTCAGCAATATTATGAAAAACAGGTCACACTAAGGGGAGGTAACATATGAAGGGGCAGAGTAGAAGAAGGAAACTAAGAAGGTGAATATGGTTGATGTACTTTCTATACCAGAATGAATATAGAATTTTTAAACTGGTTGAAACTAACATAAGAAAGGGACTAAGGTAGAATGAAGAAAAATAGGAGAGATGAACCAACTAGGGTTATATACAATATATACATGGAAATGTCATAAGGAAACTCCCTGTTTAGCTATCTTTATGTTAAACAAGCAAAAATGTCATTTTTTTCATATCTCTTTTTTCTTTCACAAAATCAGAGAATAGGAGGGCAGTACAGGTCTGACCTGGGGAGGGGTTGGAGGGAGTTGGTACCAGTGGGAAGGGGGAGGTGTCAGGGAAATGTTATAGGAGGGTGAATACAGTGCAAATACTGTGTACACATGTATGTAAATGCAAAAATGATACCTGTTGAAAGTGTTCCAGGAATGGGGGGAGGAGGTGATAAAGGAGAGTGGTGGAGAGGCTGAACTCAAGTATGATGTATTTGATACATTGTAAGAGCTTTTGTAAATGCCACAATGTACACCCAACAGCACAACAATAAAAAAATACAAAAAAATAAACATCCTTATAGCAATTTAAAAAAAAAGATATGTTGAGTAAGATAAGCCAAGCTCAAAAAGCCAATTATCACCTTTTCATTCATATGTGGACTCTAGACCTAAAATAATAATAGTTATAATAATGGGGTAGGACTGTAAAAGGGGACTGTCTGGCGGGGGACCATCAGGAGGGGGAGGGGGGAATGAAGGAGGTGCTGGAGGGTGATGAACATGATTGAGGTCCATTACATATATGAAGATAGCATGATGAAACCCACTAAACACTGTTTTTAGAAGAGGGGGAGAAAAGCGCTAAGAGTATAATAGAGGGGGTGAATGTGACCAAACTATGTTGTGCACATGTATGGAAATATCACAATAAAACTCCTGTGTACAATTAATTTATGCTAATAAAAACATATTTTCCAATTTAAAAGCAGTAAAAAAACAGACTTTTTAGCAGGACTAAGGGTACACAAATTATATATTGGAGTCTGAGAATGTGGTAGGGAAGTGGTAAACCACCAGCTTTCAGTTGGGATTCCTCAAGGGATATATCTACAGTGTGCATGAACAGAACTGGCCCTCAAAGAGATTGAAACAAATTCTCATGTCTGCTTAATGTCTGATTATATTAAAATCATCTCCCTAGGCTAATAGTCCAACAAAAGCAAAAGTAAATATTCTGTGAAGGGAGATAACATCAAAAACCTCAGTCCCTAAAACAATTCATATACCATATCAGCATATAATAAAATATTACTCAACATTCTGGGTGGTAATGCCAAATGATCAGAGAGGAAGAAAAAAAACACTTGGGAAAAAATTAAACGTACATAGAAGTAACATTTATTGGGGTTTTCAGACAAAGTTTTAAATAATTATGATTTATATTTTGGAGAAATAGAAGTCAAGATGAATAGCTTTGGCTAGGAACTAGAATTTATAAAAACATTGAATGTGATTATAGAATAAAAAGTATAATAACTGAATTTCAAGATCAGTATGTGGGCTTAAGAGTCAGTTAGACATAGCCAAAAACAGAATTAGTGAATTTGAAGATAAATCAGTAAAAATTATCCAGAAATCACTAAAAATAGTGAAATCATGAATAAACAACAAAAAAACCTAAAAACAAACAGTAAAATGGTAG